CTTGACTGGACCCTGGCAGGTCCTGTGTCAGGCCACTCAGTAATCAAACTGATACAGTAGTCAGACAGCATCTCAGACATTTGCTCAATAGCTCTGGTAGTCACATATTAAGATAAATCATATTATAAAAATATTTTAGTATTAACACTCCAGAGTGGAAGGCTTATTTCACTCCTTAAAAAGTTCATAGCACTTCTCAAATGAGACTGTGCTGGTAATCCTGGTGTCCATTTCGAATTACAGCAAGTGAAATTGCATTTTGCTTATCTAAATTCTCTCTGCAGTATCTATACCAAGTTTCTATACCAAGCTAGCATTTAAAATGTCAGGTGCTGTTCTACACCAGAGGATCCTGCCTATCAGCCTGAAGGGAATCATCACCATACATCTCTTATGCTTACTCAAAGCTTTTTGGATTTTGCTTCTATTTATTTCAATAATTACTACTGCCTGCTGTGAAAAACATTGCAGAAATGCAGTGTGGTAGTGAGATGATTGCAGGGAAAGTCAATACAGACTGAGAAATTAACTGTTATTATTACCTTCAATATTTGCAGGTCAAAAATACACTTTTTTTTTTTACACTACCAAAGTTTTTTCATATATTAAAAATTACCCAGGACACTTAGATCAGTGCCAGGGGTTAACAGGAAATTTTAGTTTTCCCCACATCCCCATACATTTCCAAGTCATTCTTCAATAGTCAGGATATGGTATTAGAAGGTATAAATACATGTTGAAGAGGAAGTATTTGGTATAAAACTATTCAGTGATATTGCTTATTTGCATAATTAAATAAACAAGACAGACCCAAATTATGCTTTTTTGGGGGGATGAATTTGAGATTCAGTGAAGAAAAATGCACCTGATGGGAATATAACTGAGAAATGGGACATTCATACTTTGCAGGCAGTATTTAGAAAAAAGAACACAAGAAATTAAATTATCAGAATTTTATTTTCTGTTACAAATTATCACAATCACAATCAATATAAACTGGAAAGCACTGAGGAAACATGACTGTTACAAGATTTATCAAGGTGTAAAAGCGTCATCTAAGACTCTACTACTAGAAAACCTGTGACTGCATACAAGAGAAAACATTTCTATGCATCAAACACCAAGTGAAAGAGAATAAAAGGAGCATAGAATAGTTGACAGGGATTCAAACACCTTCATGTTATACAAGTTTCTGAAGGTAATGGAAGCTGGAATATCACTTCTACCCAAGAGTCTGAGCAGATCTGTTTACAATTCGCTATTAAGAAAAGCTTCAGCATAAAACACCAATCTTCATTTTAACTTATCCATGCTTTTCATACATTAGACAAGGTGTTTCCAAAAGCATTTAAATTCTAGTTGTGAGACTTCACACACTCTCTTACACTTGCTGCATAAGGCTAAAAAGAGCCACTAAAGGAACATGAGGTTACATTATTGCTTTGTAACAGGAACCTAGATGAAAAGTCTTTATTGAGCTCCAAATAAAACATTGTCGCATCACTAAACGATCAAGAGTTTAAATATACAATTGTTTTAAAAAGTGTATCCTGTCATACACTTTAAGGCTTTAATACAAGAAAATACTGAACAGGATTTTCATACTCCGTAGCCTGTCCCATCGTTGTCTAGGCATACGGATAAGTACAATGCTCTAAGCAGTCCATAATTAACATGGCAGAAGTTCCTGAAAAAGAGCAAAATACAATTTATTAGTATGCATCCTGAGACTAGAGACTATGAATTCTGTCAGACTATAAGAAGTGGCATCAGGTAATTATGCATATAATCAATACATGTAGAATTATTGAAACCATTGCAGAAACTGTCATTGAAATTCAGTGTAAATGTGATGAAAAAGGCTCAAGAAAGGCAAATTAATGACGTGACTAATTGTAATAATTTACATTACTTGTCTCACCAGTAACATAGGTCAATTGACCAGTGTCAGAATATAAAACACTACCAGAATGGATAAACATTTCTAGGTTAGTTTGTCACAATAGAAGGAAGGATGCCTTCTATGTTGATAATTATTTTTTTTTCATTTTAGAGACCTTTAGATTGTTTTTTCCCCTCTGTTCAAAACCTGATTGCAATTCAGAGATTCCTCCAAAAAAACAAACCAGAAATGCAATAGCAGAACACAGTGATGGTGCATGCTATTTCAGAAACTGTCAAGTGAAGTTTTGTACTGTCAATATGTGGCAGAATATCTAGTACCAGCTGTTTGAACTGATGTGGTCTATTGTACACACATGCACTAGACATAAGAAGTGACAGAACATTTTTTTAAGAGGCTTGAAAACATTCTTAGGAGAAATATGTATCAATGTGGAGCATCAGAAGAAGGAAGAAACGGATTAAAGATTTGTACCACTTATGTTTCATATATGCAGATTTTCAGATGTATCAAATTTACATCCTTTAACTCATTACAAGAACAAAACTGGACTCACATGGTTAACTTTTCAAATAAAATGGGCCACAGATACTCAATGGGAGCACCATTTGACCACAGACTACTACTCCTGTCAGGTGCACATCTGGCACATGACTTAAGCAATCAATTCTGACCACAGGATGGGTGAGCTCTGTCAGGAGCTGAATTGTCTTTTAATTTACTCATGTGACCAGCAGGAACCAGTAGTATGACACTCTGTAACACAATGGCACCCCCAAACAGCCTCTGCGTGATTTGCCAGGACACATTTTTTCACCCAGACAACCTGGAACAATTTAAGTGTTCACAGGACTTCAGGACAGAGTAGCAGAGAAGTGACACAAATGCTTAACAATGCATTCATTCTCCATAGAGGAGGTAAAAAAGAAAGGTGACATTTAAAAAAAGAGTTGGATAAATATTACAGACGGTCAAATTCACTTCTGATTCACTTATTTATCTACCAGCCATCCCTGCTACTGGATATTTTAGTTTCAACCCATCGAGTTTCATTGTATATGGTTAATATAAATCTTCAATATGCAATTGAAAACTTGTTATGACTTCTGTAGCTCACCATATTATGTCATTTAAGATATGATCAAAACTGGAGATTTGGCCATTTCCATTAAAATAATTCTAAAAGATGTTAAGATACTCAGTTTTGCCATAGCAGTTCTAAAAGCTGGTATCATAACTTGGCCCTTTGAGCACCAGAGCAGAATCTTATCTGAGCTCTCCTAAACTTAAAAGAGTCCTTTGCTTTAAATTTTTAAAATAGCCTCAAAATTGTTCTTAAAGCCTTTTAACATATACATCTATACATATATATACTGTGATAGTTTCAAATTTACTGTGGTATACAGAGGCAATACAACATACACAATATTTCAAATTATAGAGCTCTGTTCATTTAAATCATGTCAACTAAAGGCACTGAGATGGGGAAGAACTACCATTCCAAGCAGGGAACAAAGAAAAAAAGAAGTTCCATTTAAAATGTACACAATCTGAACATAAATACAGTTATTTCTTACTTTACATATTGAATTCACCAGAAACAGTAGAGCTAGCTCATCCTCAGCTAATGTTTCTCAATGGACTTGTTCTCCTTCATTTATGCCAAAAATCAGTCTGCACCTTGTGCAGAAAAGCTTGACTTAGAAAATCATTCTACAAATTGCTTTTTTTTTTTCTGCTTTGGAAAACCATTTCAGCATTTGCTGACCAGATTAGAGTTTTAAATTCCCATTTGAAGACTACTAGCATAAATTTCCATTCATTTGCTTTAACCTTCCTCTGCCCAATGAAATACTTAATTGGTTGAAGTGCTGTCAGAGCTATGTAGGCTTTTCAATAAATAGACAGAGGACAGTGTCCACATACTGGGACAGTTCAATGTCCTGTTTAATGATAGCTTAAAACTATGACTTTTCCCACAAGAACTGAACATAGCCAAAGATTTTTGCTGACCTCCAGCTCAGTACCTCTCATCATTATGAAATTTAAAGACTTGTGTATAAAGAACTAAGGACCCAAGCAAAACTCCATTGCTTATCTAATAATTGTACAGGCCAGTAGAAGTACCTACCAAAGCATCAGAAGATTAAGGTTTTTGTTCTCTTGGCTGTCCAAGGAGGTGGGTTTCCTGGCAAAAGAAAAGATGATATTTTTACTAAATTTCAAAGACTTTAACATAAAAACTAAAGAAAACAATGTAAATGAAACTACAATAGAAACTTAATGATTAACAGAAAAACTTTAGATAACATTGCAATATTTAAGTTACTAGAATTTATGGAAAAGAATATATTACAAACTTTTGGTTATGAGGTTTTACAGTTGTTTAATAGGGAATAGTTTGTCCAAATTTAACTAGCTAAGCTAAGGCTTTTTAGATGACTAATACAAATTAACTGTTTTAAAATGAGAATTTAGGTGTCCTCAGAGTCTTTCCTGCATTCTAAAAATGTAACTTTCCAAGTTGTAGCCTCCCTGGTTTTATTGGTTATATTAAGATAAATTAAGTGAGATTAAAATCTTATTTGATTTATTTACCTTTGCAAATGAAGACCGTTTTAAGGGTTACACATCCTCTGCCTCTGACGAAAGCGACCTCAATTAGTCAAGTCAGAAAGTCTTTAAAAGCTTTGTGTTTATTGCTTCCAGCATGGAGAGGTGGTCATTAACGTGCCAAAATTCTCAAAAAATCCAAAGTTGCACTAGTGAAAAAATGCTCAACAAGATGAAAACTAGTCACATCTTTTTCAGAAAATTCAGTAGCTATTTTAAACCATTTTTAACAAAGATCTTTTGATTTAATCTGGCACTCAAACAGATCCATACCATTTGGATACTTTAAACAGCATTTATATCTACTGTGAGTATGTATATAGATATATACACATTTAGGTTTATACCATTTTTTTTTAAGAAGTTGTGCAATGTTTAATATGAGCCTTTTATGTTGATCACGGTTAAACATTTCTCCCTGTTTACTACTATTTATGAAGTTTTATTATAAGATAAAGCATAAAATTAATCTCACACACACTGATTTTCTTTCAAAAGTTTATTTAGTATCAAGCAAGGGTAAAACTTTGCTTAACACTACAGAACATTTCAAGACTTGAGTTACAAAATACCACATTATTTGCATTTGTAATTTGCTTCCCTTTTTACTCATGTTTGCAAAGAGAAAATCTAGCAAATGGCTGAAAATAAAAACTAAAAACTAAATTGTTGAAAAACTTTAAAATAAAAGGTTACGCTATGTTAAAAGAATGGACTAACATATTTAGTAAACCTATTTTTTTGTTTAACACTAGTTAATCAAAGGTTATTTTTTTGATCACCTATTCTTTCAAATACACTTTGGAAATAACAAAGTTCCTTTTTTTACATATCCTTCTGTCCAGGTCGTTCTTTCAACAGAATATTTTAAGTTCAGTCCATCCATTCAGATTTTTATGCTCTTTGATTTAATAAAAAGGGATTGTTCATAGAAAAAATTACTTTGAACAGTATACAGGACTGGTGAAGACTGGATATTTCACAACATCAGACAGTACAATCAGTATCTGGCATATGGCTGGTCTCTGTAGACTCCTTTTGTTGTCCTTGCAGAAGGTGCCTTGTGTCGTGAGTTGGTCCATTCTTCTTGCCCTACAAGGAGGAAAAATACAATTAAACACCTTCCAATGTTCTCACATGCTACACTTTTTTTAAATTTAATTGTGAATTGGATAGCAACATTCTCTCCCCAAAGAAGGCTCTGAGGAGACCTTATAGCTCCTTCCAGTACTTGAAGGGGCTACAGGAAAGCTGGAGAGGGGCTTTTCACCAGCAAAGATAGTGATAGGAAAAGGGGTAATGGTTTTAAACTGAGAGAGGGGAGATTTAGGTTAGACATCAAGAAGAAATTCTTCCCTATGAGGGTGGTGAAGAACTGGAATGGGTTTCCCAGGGAGGTTGCTGATGCCCCATCCCTGGAGGTTTTTAAGGCCAGGCTGGACCAGGTTTTGTGCAAACCAATCTAGTGGTAGGGTTCCCTGCTCACAGCAGGGGGGTTGGAACTTGATACTTGACTTCCCTTCCAACCTTAATGAGTCTATGATTTTCTTTACTGACATGGAGGTGTACAGAGTGAAGTCTAACACTTGAATCAAAAATCTGGGTACAGCACACCTATACAAATGATACTGCAGTGATTTCTCAGCACAGAGCAGCAGGAAGTGTGACAGCCGAATGGCAAAATTCTTTAGGGCTCTGGCATTCAGCTGGATCTGCATGTTGCAAATACACAGAAATGCCAGCTAGAGTAGCAGCCCTGCAAATAACTATACTTAGATGAAACCAATGGAAGATATGAATTATGTATAAGCAAATAAGCTACCCTCAGAAATACGTTTATTTGCATCAGTACCAATTCAGGCTTAATTCAAATATACAACTCAATAATGAAAAGCCTCAAGGATCACTACAAACACCTGTGGCTCCTAGCAATCTAGGGGTAATAATCAAATTCACTGCAATCATACACTTTCTTTAAGATGCAATAAGTAGTAAGGTGGATTAAAACACTTAAAAGGGCAAGGGAAATTTCTTGCTTGAATTTTGGCAACAAAACTTTGTGAAAAACCTGTGCTGTGTTTAATGTTTCATAATACTACCACATTTTACTGAAAATGTCAACAAAAAGTAGCAAAATATTGTCTTAAAGGAGAGTCAGACCTACTGTGCCAGGCAATTACAACAGGAGGGAAAACACAGGACTAAATGCAGAGTGTAAAGTGCACTAAGTACTGTTAAACCAAGTGAGTAAACAAATCAGACTGTCACCCTTGAGAGAATAAAAAAGAAAAAAACAACACAACCCACCCCCAAATTAAACACTCCTGAAAACAGTGGATGTACTTCCGTATCTACTTTGTAGAGTTGCCCTGCCCCAGACAACCTAGGTGCCCAAGTGAACCCAATGTAATCCAGAACCAAATGGTGGAAAGCAAATGTAAAGTAACAAAATGTAGGCACTACTTTGTCTCTCTAGTCCACTAAAAAAAATAAAATAAACCAAAGTTCCTAAAGAAGTGTGGCCAGCAGATCAAGAGGTGATCCTGATCCTCTACTCTGTCCTGGTGAGACCTCACCTGGAGCACTGAGCCCAGCTCTGGAGCCTCCAGGTCTTGTGAATTTCTAGTTTGAGGCACCTAATATTCTTAGCACACTGCAGAAATGTTTATTTACTCTGCATTTAGGGATGTACGTGAGGGTCAGCTAGTTAAAAAATGAAGTATGTAACTATTTATTTGTATATGAAAAAGTTTTCATGGCTGCAAATCCATAAACATATGAGGGTCAGCTAGTTAAAAAATGTAACTATTTATTTGTATATGCAAAAGTTTTCATGGCTGCAAATCCATAAACATTCTCCAAGTAATTTATGGCCTTCCTCTCAACTTGAGTAAATACATCGCTTAATATTCTGAGTGGCTATGCTTTGATAAATAGAAAACCAATTTTAAAAGCAAAAGCAATGAAAAAATCCATATTTTCAGTCTTAAATACTGCAATCTACCTTTTTCCTCATCAGTCAGCTCTGTTTACATTAAGTAGTTTTATATATTTTTCCCTCAATTTTGCATTAATGAAATGCTCTTAGAAATATCAGGCAAGTAATGGCAAACAGTTTATTTTAATGCTGAAATAAAGATTCAAGCTGTATATCTATCAAGACAAATTGTTGGGAGATGGATGAATTTCAAGTGACTTATTATTTTGATGAACTGACTTTCCCCTTAAGCAAAATAATTAGTTCAAGCAGACGACATTGAGCAAACTTCTGCATTAGGTGACATTGATCACAACAACTTAGTTGAGATCATTGTAGTTTTTACCAGGAAGCACTTTGAAATGGAGCTCAAGAAAAGACACCATGAAAAATTTTTAAGGAGAGCTCTAAAATCACCAAGGAATCCATTACCCAGAGTTACAACTCTTTTACTCTAATTACTAACAATCCTGAAATCTTTGAGATTTGAGTGATCAGATTACATTTCTCTCATCTCTAGCCAGAGATTTAACATTTATCCCTTAAGCAAAGGAGCTTTTAACATGGTTTATGCCTCTAATCCATAACAGATTTCTTTAATTAAACCTGTCACTACCACACTTCTAGCTTAAAAAAATGTGATCTTTACCACTGACACATTTTTTGTTTCATTACACATTGTTTTGCCTCCATATGAGTAGCCCACTGCCCTCATGTCTATTAGTTACCTAAAGTACTTTCATAACCTTTACATAATGGCTCCCTGCTTGATTTCACAAGACTGATGCATGAGAATGAACTAATAGAAAAAGACCATCCAAGTCTAAGATGCACTCAATTAGGCCCCGATTCAGTGGAGAACTTCAGCATATTCTTTCCTTGTACCAAGTTCCAACAACAGTTGTGCCACACTAGAAGCATTTGCTTCCAGGTGCAAAACAGCTCCTGTACCCTTTTTTCCCCCCTTAAATCCCCCTGAATGTGACATGAAACAGGTACTCGCAGCACGATTTATATTTCATTTTTTGTTTCTTTGGGTTTAATTTCACATGACTCTGTTTGTTGACAGACCACAGAAACCTCTTTCAGTGTTTTTTCTCAATAATGATCTGTGGAGCTTTGTGACAATGCATGGAGCCCTGAGCAGCTGTTACCCTCTGCAGAACTGAAGCCTGCCTTCTAGAAATTCTTCTCTGACTGTGTTTTTGGAGAGTCTACAACTGTAGTTATTCAGCTTATAAAGCTACTCACCATAAGAGTCATAAGTTTCTTCACTCAGTCCGTGGCCATAGTCATAGTAATCTGCTCCACTGTGTAGGAGAAGGGAAGCAAGAAGAACAAGCAGTTACATTTTAAGAAGCAGTGCTTATAATTACACATTCTATCTTTGGAAAGAAGAAGGTTTGAAGGATATACCTATGCCCTAAGGTAGCAATGTAACAATGATAACTTAGGTCCTTTTTGTTCATTAATTAGAAGACAAACCATATATGATCTCATTTTGGATATTGTTTCTTCACCCTGCTCCTGGTCCACAGTATAAATGTGGATGTGGGTATTTTATATTTAAAATTATGCTTGCAGTTGGGATGGCTGAAGATCTTGCAAGCGCCCATGAAAGAAGAGTAGGAGGTGCAGATACTGAACCAATATATTTGTCAAACAAATTTAATTTCTCTACCACCTATTGCCTAGTATTTAGCCTTTCTATCTTTTAATTCGGTGAAAAAATGCAATAAAGGACAAGTAACTTGCTGATCAGAGGTTTATATGCTTGATACACATGCACAAGTTCCCATGTGTCCAAAACAAGACAAATGTGTTCATATCATAGAATGGTTTGGGTTAGAAGGGACCTTAAAGATCATCTAGTTCCAAATCCCCTGCATGGGCAGGGACACCTGCCACTAGACCTGGTTGCTCCAAGCCCCATCTAGCGTGGCCTTGAACACTTCCAGGGATGAGGCTTTCCCAGATTTTCTGGGCAACCTGTGCAGACTCACCACCCTCACAGTGAAGAATGTCTTCCCGATGTCTAACTTAAATCTCTCTTCCAGTTTAAAACCATTTCTCCTTGTAAAAAAAGTAATCACTTTAATAAGCAGACAAGAAATTCTGATAGAAACTAAGGCAAAAGCATAAATTTGCAGTTGTTTGGATTCAAAACTATGTTTTAGGCCATGATTATGGTATTCATACAGTCTTCCATTTCATAATGACATTTCTATTTGTATTAAGACCACTGAATAGAAACTAAAGAACAAACCTTATTACATAGTATTTCTCCATTATGCTTTTATATTTCATGTAAATATAACTGTGTCTTTTACATAGTTGACAGAAAAATAGTCTTTGACATGTTTGTAGGACATCAAAAGCAAATCTGTTGTTTCTTTTCTTTCTAACCACAGCCAGACCCAGGGCTGACAATATTCAGAAAATACTCTACAAACTGATGCTGCCAAGTCATTACCATCTGAATGAGAAGGAAATCACTAATGTATGATCACTAGCACATAATTACTAATATTATACAAAATGTTTCTAATATTATATTGATTACTAACAAAATAAAAAGTCTTAATTTATACCCTTAGAACAAATTAGCAGGTAAAGCATTTCTATAAAAACAAGACCTTAAATTCACTTCTAAACCAACACAAGAGAAACATGGTTGTGTTTCTTTGTTTCAGTTTGTTTTTCTTTTAAGCTAAAACATTTTAAATCCCTCCAGCAGAGGGAAAAAGAGGTAATTAGGGGATTGGAGCATCTCCTTTATGAGGAAAGGCTGAGAGAGCTGGGACTCTCTAGCCTGGAGATGAGAAGGCTGAAGGGAGACGTTATTAATGCTTCTAATTATCTGAAGGCTGGGTACAGGGAGGATGGAGCCAGACTCTGTTCAGTAGTTCCCAGTGACAGGATAAGGGGCAATGGGCACAAGTTGGAACACAGGAAGATCCACTTAAATATGAGGAAAAACTTTACTATGAGGGTGACAGAGTCCTGGAACAGGCTGCCCAGGGAGGTTGTGGAGTCTCCGTCTCTGGAAACATTCAAGACTTTCCTGAATTAAGTCCTGAGTAATGTGTTCTAGAGGATCCTGCTTTAGCAGGGGAGTTGGACTAGATTCCTTCCAACTCTGACAATTCTGTGATTCTGTGAAAATAATCCAGGTCAGAAATAATACAGTTCTGGTGTGGGCAAATGTATATCTAAAGAGGATGGATTAATATTTGTTATTGCTAGGATAAGGCTTCCTAAACAAAAACTTTATCAGAATTGATTACCAATACCCACAAATAAGTACCTGTATACAACTTAAATGTCACCTATTGTTTGTCAGTCCACGAAGACCCCAGAATAACAAGGGCAAACTTTGAAGCATAAGGAATGACATAATTTTGCCTGCTAGAGCCAGTGATAAAACAGTCTTTATTCTGACAACCATCTTAAAACTGACATTGACTATCCTTCCACAGAGTGCTTAATCATCTATTTTAAAATTGTCATTAAGTTTAGAAGCCTATAGCAGCTGAGCCCTATGCTCATAACTGTCAGTCCTGTCAGAATGACATCTGCAGGCTTTCATTTCATGGATCTCGAATATGCATTAAACAAAACAAAAATACTCATTTTGCAGTATGTAAACTGCAAGACAAATAACATCAGAAAGGAAAAAAATCTTGTACTTATACTGGAAGTTTATCACAGCCCATCTTTATTAACAAGCAAAGCCTTCAAAATTAATAATCTGCCCAAAAAACACAAGTTATAATAGGAAGTTGCCTACTGCAATTCTGTAGTCTCTGCTCTGGTTTCATTTCTGCTCTGTGAATGATGCCAACACTCTCTCAATTCAACTACACATTAAAGAAATGCAAAACTTCAGGTAAAACAGCTTAAAGACTATGACCCAAAGGGTACATAGATGGCTGTAAGGAATTCTGAGTAAAAAAGAAAACATTGAAAAGACATTTCTGATTTTTTTTTTTTCTACCTGTAAAAGAGTCTGAACAGCCTATGGAGTTCACAACCAAAACACCAAAGATAATAGGTTTTTTTAGATGCATTACAGAAAAATCTAGCCCTGTAGATGAAGTTACAGACTTGTATATTTTCAAAGCTATCACCTGCTAAAAGGAAACCTAGTCAAAGGAATCTGCAAAGCCACACTTCTGAATGTTACATTTCAGCTCATTAATTGTGATAGTTGAGGTCAATTCTGTTGTGAGGAATTAAGTAGCTATATTAATTCTTCCTAAGGATCATTTTTGTTTTAAAATGATCCTTGACATTTATACTTTTTTTGTGTATGTTCTCTGGCATCTTAGCAGTCTTACTAAACACTGTTCAAACCCTGTATTTCCCTGTAAGAGATTTATTCTGCAAGGCAAGCCCTCTTCTTCCTTTTCCTTTCATTGTCTCACAAAAAGGAAGAAAAAAAAGCAAATCCAGGTTCATTCTCTTCTTTACCTCATGTGCCTCTCTCCTTTCAGAACAAGGAAAAACATGCAGTAGATTTTTTCCTTTTTAACCCAGAAAGAACAAACGTGGAGTCTGCTTTGAATTCCAAGGTTTTCAGATGTGAAATGTATTCTTGAGGGCATTTTTTTTCAATTTTCTTAATTTTTCCTTACTTCTCCAGGCATCTACTTTGTAGATGGATATTTCCATTACTTGGTATAGTCAGCTGAGGTTTCAAGCATCTTCCTAACCATCCAGTAAACAGTGGAACTGCAATCAACACTGGAGTATATCAACTGTTATTCAGATCTTTTGCACATACAAGGCCCTTGCTTAGATCTCCCAATATTTAACTTCCTTTAAATTCCCTTTCCAGCACTATGTTTTTGGGAAGACAAGAGAGAAGATAGAGATGGCAAAGAAAAAATACTTTGATTTTTCATGTCAATGTAAAAAAATGGAACCACCTAATGGTATGGAAGGATTAGGAAAGAACAATTAAATTTGTTATGTTGCTTCTAATTGCTGAGAGCTGGGCATTAACTCTACAATGCTTAGAGGAAGTATGAAGTTTAAATAAAGCCAGAGGGAAGTGCCTGTTTTCTCTGTTCAAGAAGTGACCAGAAATAAAGAGCAACACCAGGCTTGAACACTGCATCACAGATGAAGTAAAGCCTTAGAGAAGCCTTTTCATGTAGTAAAACAGTACTGGGAAACTTCCTGTCATTTTTGTAGAACCACTCTGTTGTGAGAAGTGTCTTAAAAATATTTTAATTTAGAAGCATTCAACATAAACCTTTAAAGATCTTATGGAAGATGACATGAATTTCTCAGGCTTTTCTGCTAAGCTGATTGTTTCCGCAAATATCTTGATGAATCATATTAGAAGAACAAATCTTTATGAAAAAAACCAAACCAGCAATAACTGCTCTTGACATGATGGTTAAGTCTTAGGAAACTTTTACTATATTACTAGCTAAGTCTGTCTAAAGATGTTGGAGATATTCTCTTGAGACATAACAGACTGATAGAATGAAGGTATCAGAATAAGTCCTTATGCTATTTATGGGACAATGCTAGAGCAGGCATGCCAAACACACACTGCAAGTATTCTATAGTATTTCCAAAAAATGCATAAAGGTGCTAAAATTACATTGTGACTAATGAATGTGATTGCCACAGCCCTTTAGGTTTGATACAGACAACTTTTAGAAGCAGCATTATGCCATTTCTGTGTTTGAAACAAAAGTAGTATGGCAGGGAGGCTGATTGCTATGGGGAGAGGAGGAGGTCTCTGATTGAAAACTTCTAGTTTAATAGAAAAACCCAGACTTAAGCATTAACAAGCCTGGTTACTGAGTTGAAGGACTGAGTTTAAGCCCTTTCATCTTCAGTGATGAAAAGTAGCCAGTACAGTTTCTTCTAATGCTTATTAGGAAAAAAGTATAAATGGAAAAAAGCTTCTGTTTGTTTTTTTTCCCACACTGGTATCACAAATAACTTTGGAACTGATCTCCTTACACAGGAGCCAGGGCAGTTACAGAAAGTGACCAAAAAACACAAAGGTCTCCTTTTGTGCTAAGAGTAGCTTCACAAACATCACCTTTGTCCTTCCACACAGAGGTCAAACAGAACAGCAGCAAAGCAGAAAGAACAAATGAGGATCTCTCTAGCAAGAGGTCTTACAATAGACCCTGACTGATATGATCACAACTGAACAGAACCTTTCCACAAGGACAAGCCTCTTTCTATCATTCCCTCCAGTTCTTCACACTCAGCTGCTTCTTATATCAAAAAGCATCTGTCAACAGAAAACAGGAAGTCTTACTGTCAACACAATAGTCTC